GTGAAATGACCAGTTGTAAAACCATTATTCATCAAACATGCTTGAACGTTTGTATAATACACATTGATCCATTTTAAAACACAGGTCCTAAATTAAATACATTCAAGCATTCATAATAATCCATCTCCAACATATCAAATGCTTTCTGGAAGTCCACTGCTATCAGAACACCAGACAATTTATTTCTCCCAGCATACCACAGCATCTTCTCAATCACTCTAATACAAAACACGTATGTACCTTCGCTGGAGGTGGTGTAATACATGCAGTGGATTTTTTCTCATCATTTGCCGAACGTCACTGAGAATTAAATAATTCATCCATAGTTCAAAGAGTCACCACTACTACATTGACAATTTGCCAGAAATGCACGCGTTTTTTACTTGGCTAATGCTGTTGGGGTCATAAAGACATCATTGAGAGTAATTTTCTTTCCACAGTGATTTGTTATATTATTTTTATTTTTTTAAATGTGGCATGATATTACTCCTATAAAAGTCTGAATAAAAGTGTTTTCAATATTTAATTAGAACGATGTTCAATAGCACAGTCTCTGTCTATGACTATATAATTTTTGACCTCTTTCCATTATTTTTTCTCATCTCAAAATAAGTTCAGCTTAAACTTAATTTCTCCAATTTGACATAACTATCATCTGTGCAAATTTGACTGATTTCTTCCTAATTAATTTCAAAATTCCGTAGAAAAGCTTTTAATTTCAAAGTTAATTAGGTTCATCAATTACTAATATTTCTGTCACGTATCCTCAAAGTTCTTCCATCTCCCTCTTATTTGCAGTTTCGTTTGCCATGTTGAAGTACCCAATTCCCTGACTGACAAGCTCGTCTATTTCTGGTTGTTAAGTGGGACAATTGTGGCGACTTCTAACTTAGATTTTAGCGTTGATTTCAATTTCGTATCGTTCGCTAGTTGGTCAGTTGATAGATTACACTTCAAGTTGTTATCGACCTCATCTCGAATTTCTTGATTCAGGGCGTCTTTATTCTCGTGTTTCTCTGGATGATGTGTTCAATCATTTGGTGAACTTTTCTACTTGAGTTGCTAGATGTCTCATTGCTTGCCGTATTTAGTTAGTTTAGTCCTACTCTTGTTATTTTGTTATTTTCAACTATGTTTCTCCCATTTACGTGGAGCATTAGCCAAATCTTACTCAATCATGCGCCTGCATTCTCTCCCCAGCAACCCTATTTACTACAATGTTGTAGCTGGTGATTGTTTGCATTATTGAAAGACTTGCCATGGTGTTTCTGGTCATAATCCCTAAATACAAATTTTACAACAGCTGGCATGAACGATTCAGTGTATTGTTGAGAAGGTGGAGTTATTTTATTTAAACAGTAAAGTCGTAGATCAGGTGTCGTCCTAGTTTCTGAATGACCAGTGTCAACAAATAATGGAAATTAGAGAATGATTTGTAGATGGGGAAATGATGTTGGCTTTGCCTAGTACTTCGCAGCTAACACCGTGAACCATTAGGGAGTAGTATCGGCCTACGCTCTCAAAACCCCCCAGTTCTGTGGCGTTTTCTACACATATATGCATATGATTTAAGTAAATATTACCTTCACCAAAAAAAGCATGAATTTATAATCATCAGTGTGAATTTATCCACCAATTTGAATAGCTTTTAATCAATGGATGTCGAATAATTTTGAATGAATCGTGGTCGGCGCCCTAGTTTGACACAAATCGCATATACATTTCAACGATGACTGTTTCTTCAATATATAAGACAACAGCATTATGAGGCATGATGTCATCATTTAAATAACTATCACTCGAAAAGAACATGCTGGACATCATGAGCACTTCGTCTGTTCAATATCTTATTTCTTTTGACTCTATATTAAAAATAGAAAAGATGTGCTAGGACGGACAGTTTCCACATGGTGTTTTCATAACCGTTTTTTTGTTACTGCCCCTATACTGCGACTGCCTTTTAATTTAATTTGGTAACGCAGACCACAACCCATAAATTCGCCAATTAGCGTATGTGTAGTCAATTCAGCGCATCATTGTCTTCATCGATCGTGAAATCATGACATAGGAGTGGTAGTATTGTTGTGTGAGTGTGTGCAATGCATCTGTCAATTGAGTAATTCGTATATAATTGATGCAGTACATTGATCGCCATTATTCTAAACCTGAGAACTAAAAGAGATACAACGTATGGAGTGAATTTCGATCTAGTAAGTGTGGCGGCTCCCTGATTCAATTGATTCTTAATTCGACCCATTGACTGAATAATATTGACTAACGATTGGAAATGAGTAAAGTCAGTAAGTAGGTATGATTAATGAGGCTTTGGTAAAGTTACATGATTGACAGTTATACTCCATGATGAATCGTATAAAATAAAATCAGTAAACTTTATGTTAACTTGGATAACTTTGAATATGTGAGACTCGGAACATTGCCAATTCCTGAGTATATGTCATCGTGAATTCAAGTATTTGGAGACTGAAAGTTTTACTGATAAACGACACATTCGATATTTAGGTCAGAGCTTGATTCTGTTTGGAGTCATCATTGAAATTCATTTGCTGTCTGTGCATTAGGGATTCTAATTGCGTATGTACATATTTGAACATTGTCAGTGCATGTACACAGTGTGTAACGGTGAAAGTGTCTGGGATTCTACGGCGGCGCTTTTGTTGTGGTCGTGAGTTCGAATCCCTCTCGCTGTATGTGAAATGTTCCTAATCTGCATGTGTTCCTTCTTTTCAGCCATTTTAGTCTCAAAATTGAATGTATAATAACATACAATAACAGACTGCAAACAACAAATCACATATTGTACATTTTGTATATTTTAAAAACACGGATCAAACGTACTTGCTGTATGTTGAGCATTTACTTTAGGCCACGACGGTGCCTTCGTTACAAGTGGGTGATGAGTTATTCGATCTCGTTCAGGGATGAGTACTATAAGTATTATTTCGTGGCCCAAGGTAGTGAATATGCAGTGGGACATTGTCCGTTTACAAGGTTTTTTTGACTGTGTCAGCATCCTTTATTTTATGATTTTGTCATATTGCCTCAAAGCCTGCAAATGGAACTGTGCACAGAATCATAGGAAGAACCAGTGTGCATTGTGATAACCGTCATAAAGGTGATTGACAGGTCAACTTGTTTTCAACTCTGCTGTTATTTTTATAACAAAGGATGTTTATGATCTACTGAGTTGCCTACGTGAAACGGCTAGCAAGGTTACATTCTTATTGGCTCATACGGAAACCCAGGTGGTGTCACTAAATCATGCCTATAAATTGGACAGACTCAGGACAGTTGGGTCCATCATTTCAACTTTGTGTTCGTCATTTCAACTTGGTATCCGGTGTGTGCTCTTACGATATTGTGTGACAAGTGATACAGGCTACAACCATCATTCTGTGAGACTTGTATGAACTGCTTAGCGATCTCCTGCTTCCAGCGGTGCCCTCTAGATTACCAGCGTTCCTCTGCAAGCAAGACTCCTGTATTTCTTCGTTGTTGAATTGCAGAAGCCATTGACTGTCGTCCATTATTGCATCCTGGAACTGTGAGTTATCACCAATGCACACTTTCCTAATCAATCCCCTATTTTAGTGACTCTATTCATTGCATATTTCTGCGCTTTATTTCTTGTAATTATTTTGAGAGGTATTAAAGCCTGGAGCTTTAACTCGATATTTTGGTGTATGTGTATTTCATTTCCAGTACTATCGTCTTGTTTACCCCCATGCTAGCAGTGAAAGAACCCCCTGTCCAGTGTGAGTTCTGTGGGTGGCCCCCTCAATTACGATAAGCAGGCCTTACACTGTGACAGACTGTTCGCCCATTCCTTCATAAGCCCCTGCAGTAAATCTATTCATAAGCGTGTATGCCCTCGTGTATGTTGAAAGGTCGGGTCTGATTGGTCGCGATTACAAAGTTAACGGCCAAGCAGAATCGTTGTTACATATATTAAAATTTCAAAAATGGCGATCTTTGGTTTGCGATGATGAGTAACAATCGACATTGTGTTTATTCCGCTGAATTCTCGTCGTTGAGATTGTAGTTTGAGGTTTGAGTTTCGGCGTAAAGATATGACTGATAATTATGCTTGTCACAACTGTGTTAACGTATTCATCGCATAGTTGGTTGTTGCCTTGGGTCGATGTCGGCCCGATGGCGAAGAATTCTGAATGCAACCTATGGTTGAACGTCTCTACTAACGAGTAAAGTGTTTTCAGTGATAGTTTAGAGAGTGTTACAGATGGGCGATCAAAGCAGCTTTTTTATTCACTACATTGGAAGCTTTTGACGCCGACCCAGAATATGTACATCGTGCACCATCATTTCTGGCATTTGCAGAGACAATGTTAATATTCGGCGTCAGGAACTGTGGCCTGACGCACCATACCCGTAGCCAGGATTTTGCTTTTTTTTGTAATGTATGATGAACCAACGAAAAAAATTCAAAATTTTTAAAATTGAACTTTGTTTCAGAAAATATTTTATATCATGTCTGCTCGATGTGATAAATAACACATGGCCATTCGGGCAATATCACGATTTGTTCAAGACCAACTTCGGCTCTGACATTGTAATTATAATGGCAATGACCACCATCCCTTGGGCAGGCAACAAATCGTGATATTACCCTCATAAACATGTCATTATTTAACTTGATTGGTTGAACATTTCTATATTTCAACGAACGTACGCCATTTATAATATACTTCAAGGTAAGCTGTAACATTATACCTTATGGGAGTACAATGGATGCAATAGATAGATACTCCCTTCAGAAAATCCATCAGCCTAGCAAGCTTGGGGGTGGCTGCTGGAAGGCAGCTCATCAGATGTGATCTGTTCACATGTTTAATCCTTGTGACCAGGGCAGACAAATTTGTGCTGTTAGATGGGCCACGTCATGGATTTGCTAAGGAGCTTCTAAAGATGCCTGATACGCAGGCATGGTCCTGTTCATGTTTTGTGCTTTATGTGTTACTTACTTGTATCTGGTGGCACATCAAGGTCACCTGGATTGCAAGCTTTAAAACAGTGGGCTACAGCTTTCTGTATATTGTAGAACATAAACTGGATACGATATGAATTCACTATTTCAAGGCTTTTCAGATCTACCTCATCTTCCTCATGGTAACCTGCCCTTTTGGAGCCAAACACGTGATATTTAACCATTTACTAGTCATGCCTGATTCTGGTCGCCACAGCAAATGACTTGTGCTAGTAGAATGTGTTTATTGAGAAATCTCAACAATTAAACTTGGGAATATTCTAGATAACATTTACACTTCTGATTCGTCTGGTGTAAAATTGCTCTAGTTAAAGAAGCTAAGGTAGGTCTGAGCCCTGACACTTAATATCTCAAAGGCAAGGTGTTGGGTCTGAAAGAAGACCAAAGTGTGTTTTGCCTTTATGAGCTTGTCTCCTTTTGTGGCTTTTCCACAACTTCATGTATGTTACTCGAGTAGTGCAGCTCGTGTTGAGTCAAGGGGTCCTTTTAGCATGACAGTTGATTCAGCCATCTGTCTGAGTTGGTTAGCAGCATATTGTGTATCTTACACGCCAGCTCAGGGTGGGTGACCATGCTATACATCAGGCTGTAGTTAGCATTGACACCACCCATGACCTGTAGTGTGTGACTGATAGTATTGAATGCTAGCACATACTCAACTCAATCATATGTGCTCTGTTAGAACAGCATGTCAAATTCAAGGATATGCTGGGACGTAAAAATAATTACTCGTGGTTGTGGTCTTCTTTCAAATGGCTCAGAACAAGTTTTACACCACATTATAATTTGTCTGGCTAATCTAAAAGCCAAATGGCAGTCCCTGAGATAGTGACATTTATTCTATTCCAGTGACATAACTGATGTTGCATTATAATATACTCATTCATCATAATATATTACGGGCACCAGTTGTAATGTGCTACAATTACAGCTCACATTTATTCACAGAACAAATGTAACATTCCTTCACCAAGATACTGCCCACATGTTAAATGTATTTACTTACAAGATAAAACGACGGAAAATTAAGACTACTGAATGGTTTAAAGGCGATCTTGAAATTATATATATATTGGTTTTTCTGATTTTTTTTTTTCAATCAAAAACAGTGGTGTTAGTGGCGTTGGTTATAATAATTTATGTTCGTATGAGTGTGCGCAAGAGAAAAAGCCTATTTCAAAGTTTGTCTTATGATTGGGTAATGCGGCTTTACATCATATATATATATATATATAAATTGTAGTGACGAAAGTGGCGTCAAACAAATACAATTTAAGATATTTTTTTCAAAATAAAAACAATTTAATAAATGGATATTTTGACACAACATAAAAAATAGAACATTGAGCCGTGTAACAGTAATTATAAAATGTGCGTCTCTTATTACCTAAAGCACAAGTAATGGTGCCGCCGCCACCACAGTTTAATACATGTATGTAACTGCGCCATATTAAAAGGCTAACACAACATGTACAGTAGTAGTAATACAACTCTGGCTGCGAGCTGCTGGACTATAAACGTACTGTTTAATACTGCTTCGTATTTGGCTGGGAAAATTCTAGAGTAGTGCAGTATAGCTGTATTCAGGTAGGAACACTGAATGTCTTATCTTCTACTGACAATATTATGATACTTTCGTAACTGCAACTTGCCTCAAGAAATTGAACGCTTTAAAAACGGGTCTTTTTTTGGAGGTAGTGGCCGGGAAATGTGCTTTAGCGTGGAGTCATAGTTAACTGTTTGTAAAAAGAATAAGTTTGATTTAATTTCTAAAACACATTACTCGATGAAAATTTGGGGGCTTTCAATTTAATAAGAAATGTTATGTGTTATTAAACATATTGCCTGATAATGTCATGTACACGTGGAGGACTCGCAATCTTTACTTGTATCTGTGACATATATTGAGATTAGGAATTCGACACAAAGACGTGTGGCTTGTCGTTTAATACTGCGTTCGTGGTTAATTCAATATATCATTTCATTTCCACAGCTGCCTTAACTCTTCGAAAAGAAAACTGCATTTCATAACAATATCCACGTTTGGTGATATCTATGCAATCCTATATATGCGTACCATGTAATGGAAATGCGTTTTGGAATATTCTTCGACGCGTTATGAAATTAAAATAGTGTACGCGTTTTGTAAACAAACAAATATGCACGCGACACGCATTTAGTCGTTATGAATTCGTATTACAAAATAATGCTATACATTTGCTTTCTAGTTGTTTATATGAAAATCAGCTGATAATGGTTTAAATATCAGTACTATGCTGTAATTATCATGATTACACCGATTTCCCCCACCTACAGGCATTGTCCTAAACATTAAACATTATTTGAGGTCTCGTGGCTCTTTCACTCACAACGAGATTTCAACGGCCGTTTGAGTCTGTACAATTTAAAGGGCAGCAGTCGTAGCGCCGCGTCCTGTTCGATATGGGACTCATAGCGACGTATACAACGCGTGTAAAATACATTGTTTATTTACATGAAATTCGAACACGCGCTGCGCGACGACCACCGCGCTTTAATGCAACTGTTTGTCTGTGTTCCTTGCTATAAACGAAGTATTGTAAACATGCTAACGTAATGTAGTCAAAAAGAAGACGTTACTACTAAATAATAAATTAGCTATTGAGTGTTAAACCTATTGGAACATCAACAATTTAGTAATACAAGTCAAGGTTACAGGCAAGCAATATCCCCGAACGCAATATCCCCGTAATACTAGCTGATAGACTATACTAGCACAAATAATACATCAATTTATATAATAGAGGACAGGCAAATTCAAATTCGACAAGAATGTAATTGAGGCTGAAGTTAGTAATTCAAAAGAATAACGTACAGGAGTCGTTACAAGTAATCATGATTGAAATTTAAAGGATGTCTCATTAGTGGAATAAATTTTAAACGAGTGTAGCCAAAGGTCTGGAACACATTACAATTACTACTAGAATGTAATGAATATGATAAATTTGATATCCTGTTTATCCCCTAGTTTCATTTCATACATTCTAAAGGCTAAAACGCAGTAATCTACATTTGTGAGCGTGTATTAAATACGCTGGCTCATTTACAAAAACTATCTGAGTTTATAAACTAAGATTACCGACGGTTAACCACCACTGTGATTGAGTAATTTGGTTTGATTTGAAAAAAAACCGCCACCAGACTTTGGTAAACACATTGAGGTTGAAATTATGTCTCAAGTATACGTATTGCAGAGTATGGAAATATAGCTTTATTACACTGAACTCTAATTATATTTAAAACAATAATTTAGCGGCATTAGATTATTAGCAATTGTTTATAGTGTTGTGTAGCGCATTGTGTTAATAAATATATAAAATAAAACTATTCGCAAACTAAATACTAGAGACCCATTGATCCCGGTAGTTATTAAAGAATTAGTTGGAATTTTTTGATATAAAATATACAACATTTTCCCACTAGGATCTTTAACTTGTAATATGACCTGATGTTACCCCCCCCCCCCAATAAAAAGATAATCTATGACTAGTTTCATTAAATGCTACCAATGACAATTAACTGTTTTGTTTCTTCTTCAGCACTTTTGTACCTTTCAGCAGCTTGAGTGGTTAAGCTGCAGCTTGAGTGGTTAAGCTAACATAAACGCTAACAAATGCACTGTTATATACATCATATTTACCTTGTTTAAATAAGTCGATATACGAACCTAAATGTGTATAACATTTCTCAAATCACATAGCAGATGAATGCATGTGGTTCATATGAAATGCAGTATTATTTTACAAAGTCGATAGTGGATATACGGCTAGCTGTCGTTTAATTGGTTTGTTTGTGTAACATGTTTCATAAGGTATACATGTTTAATATTTAGTACGTGAAATGCACATGCGCCGGGGTAACTGTATCAACAAATACAATTACGCATTTACCTTTACTGCTCACTGGCTCATGACCCCCGCTTAATGAACAAAAAAGAAAAACATGATGTTCAATGCTTCGTCACTCGTGTCCATGACGAGGATTTTATTCAGGTTTGCTATGACGTTTTTTGCCTGGTAGTGCACGTATAACCCTACATACATACAAACGTTTAGTGAATGTGATAACAAAAGTCAGATTAACAATGATTCCCCTTCTTCGATTTTAGTATAAAACATCACTGTTCAATCAAATGATCTTAAATCCTAAATATGTGTTTTATGTGGTAGGTACCAAGAGAGTAATATATGCGTTAAACATGCGTTTTTCGGGTTAATTTCTTAGTTGATGGGGTGTACTTATAAACTCTCAAATGCTGAATTCGGAATAACATAGAATGTGGGCAGTGGTCCAATACAGCTGCATTTTCACTATAGTTGCAAAGTATATTAACACTAACACTGTTGTGCCGGTACACCGGTGTCCGTGACTGGGTTGTCAGTTTTTTGACGGCCTGTTACGTAAAACATGGTGTCAAACATGACGTTTTATATAAATCGAAGTTGGGAAATTAATTTCACTGGGGACACAAAATTTGCCTAATTAAGATAAACCGTACAATGTGAAAACGTATATATGTGTATTTTGTTATTGCCAAATACAAATGTTTATTTTTTCAGCACACGCAGCACTCGGATATAAGGAAGCTGATCTGAGACATTGTCACCTAAACAATCTTCTTGAAATCGTCGTTTTATTTTATTTTTATGTTTCAATACTCAAAACATACCTCTGATAATTGACCACCTGAAATTTAATTTCCGTATTTTTTCAAATAAGTCAGCCACTTCTAAAGATGTTTGTTTTCATAGTTTTGTAACCTTAGAATTAGCCATTCAGAGCCTGTAATTGGGTGTTTTTCGTTTAGTTATTTCGCCATATCGTGCAAATGTCCACTCCTGTTTGTTGCACAGGTAAATCTTTTGCATATCAATATAATAACAGAAGGTCACGACACAACTTTGGACAACTTTGGCGTTTTCATCTGCTGATTTTACCAAACTGTAGCTAGCTAAACAAGTTTTAACAAGGGACACTTTAGGTGAAAAGGTATTCAAAGATCTGTCGTCAAAAGCAGTTCTTGGTTTTTAGGCTTTCACCAGGTAGTTTAACGGAGTCAACTATTTCAATAATCCGAATTGAGAGAGAATTGC